AATTTTTAATTTAGGTAAGCAGCAACAGTGACGTCTTGTGATTAAAGGATACACGTTATGGGCGTGTTACAGCTCTTTTCAATGCTCATGTAGTGGCTCTTAAAAGAGCCTTGGAGTATTTTGGAGTATTCAAGTAGTCAGAATGCAGCGGTACAGCCTTTAAGCCCGTTCACCCCGGATACGCCGGGCTAACTGGATGTCTTTAGGCATGATGGTGACTCTCTTGGCGTGAATAGCACACAGGTTGGTGTCCTCAAAGAGCCCCACCAAGTAGGCTTCGCTCGCCTCCTGTAGAGCCATAACAGCCGAGCTCTGAAAGCGCAAATCAGTTTTGAAGTCCTGGGCGATTTCACGGACCAGGCGCTGGAAGGGCAGCTTGCGAATGAGCAGCTCAGTAGATTTTTGGTAGCGGCGGATCTCTCGCAAGGCAACAGTGCCGGGCCGATAACGATGAGGTTTCTTCACTCCCCCAGTGGCAGGCGCGCTCTTCCGAGCAGCTTTGGTAGCCAGCTGCTTACGGGGGGCTTTGCCACCAGTAGACTTACGGGCGGTCTGCTTGGTCCTGGCCATTTCAGAAAACGCACGCTCTCTCTACTTCAAATAAAAGAGTGTAGTGCTCTAGAGGTATTTATAGAAAAATATCCTCTCTCTGATTGGCTTATGAGAAGAAGCCAAGCTCCATTGGCTAATTTGAACATTTGTAAATCCCGCGCTTCGCTATGCAAAGAAATGCGACACTGCTAGTCTACTCTTACTGTTTCCCGGATCTATTCTCGCCACCACTATCCCATTCCCTGAAATTTATGATTCTTGGACCACACCAGCGTCCCGTTTTCCTGAGGTTTCCTTTCTTGCTGAAACCCCTTCGCCATACAGAATCCTTCCCTTCCCTGCCTCCCACGTTTATCTCTTTTTTATTTATATATTTTATTTTTAAATTGAACAATTTGTTAATCTGTATACCATTCCCTCGTCCTCCTCTTAACGTTGAACAATCGTCACCAGCACCAATCTCAGGAGACAGGGGAGTTAAACCACATGGGCAGCAAATCTCTCTGTGCCTGTTCTAGTTAGTGTTTTAATTAGCAGGCTTTCAGAAGATGAAAGCGCTACCTCACACTTCTTCCCTCTCATACTGAAGGGCACCCCCTTTTTTATGAAGAATCTCTTTACTGTCCTTCCACACTGCCTTAAGCCTCAAACAGATTACAGACCAGGGGCAGTCTTAAATTGTAATCCCTTGCAATATTTAAGTAGTAAAAGATTAACTTTTCTTTATCTGCATTTTCATCCTGACCTATCTTGTTTTACAAGAAACCACCTGGTTTAGCAGATGGCCTTCAGGAGCAGAAAAATAATGCACAGCTCGATAGACATAAATCTCTTTCCTTCTCTCCCCTTTCTTCGCTCCTAAAACAAACAAAAAATCAGACCTTTGCTCACTTTTCAATTAGATCAGACATCATTACATAAAAACTGTTCAAGCCACCTGCTTATCTTTTACATACCTCACCCCAAACTACACACAATAATTGCTCTCTTTTAAATGTTATTTTTCTTCAGATTCATGGGAATAAAGGTCTTTAAAAGACTGCAGAAGGTTTTCTTTTGTTTTGGAAAGTAGAGAGAACATTCTGAATGAGTACTTAATGCATCCTCCAACTGCTATACATTATTTCTGCCTAAAAGAGAAAATTAGAATGATATAAACACAGAGGATTTTCACTGGCTAATCACTGTAGAAGAATTTTCAAATTCACCCATGGGTTTCATCCCATTCCCAGTAGCCAGATAGAAATCACAAAGAATCTGAACCCTTTCCCTCACTCAGTTCAAAGAATGGCCCAAAACTTCCAACCCCATTATACAATTACAGTGTGGCTATTTTCCTATAGGGCAGAGTTTGCAGAAATAGAATGGTTGGCTCCCACACTCAGACTCTCAACTTGTTGGAAGCTGTATCTTCCAAACCTATTTCTTAAAAAAATATTACAACTGAAAATTCTTTTTAATATTTCAATAATGCTGCTTTCTAGCTGGAGCGGGAATCTAGTTGATGAGTGTCTGCTGTCACTCAGCTTGCCAAAGAATGTTTTGGAAGGCCCTACAAAGCCATCCCCAGTCATAGGATCATTTACTGCAGAAAGTATTTAGAACAATCTTCTTCTCAATAAAAGCTTTAATATTTTAAATCCACCACATGAATGTATTTTATGAGTTTCACCTCTTCAAGGATCCACCCTTTTTCCGCATATGTGATATAGAGCTGGAGAAAAAAAATACAACTTCTATGAAACCACCTATTTTTATTAGGCCCACGAAGGATAATTTCTTGCTTAGAATACATGTAGGAATATTAAATGTAGTTTTACTGAAAGTTATGTATTTAGTAGTTTAGCATTTCCCCCCCCCTGGAGTTAAAGAAGAAGCTACTAAAATATCAGTTCTTATTGTGAAAGCTTGAAAGATCTGATTTGTTTTTAATGGGGTGGAGGGATGGACAGCCACCAATTCTGTAGAGAGCATGGCCCTGGCCTTTCTCAGCATAGACCACATACCTAATGACCATCTTTCTGTCTAGCATGTTCATCAGATGATAGTATTGTGGACTATAATCCCCAAGAAAACTTTCAACACACTCCAAGTCTATTTGTAAATCAGCTCCCAATGATAAGCTAAGAATGATAATTTATCTTATATGGGAACACTTAGAAAGATGCAACTTAAAACTATTCCCATAAAGATTTCCAGTGCATAAACATATCTCCATAAGCCTCTAATTAGTTATTGGTGTTGTGGAAATAGGAAATATTTAAAAAGATTTAATGGAAGTGAAAGATTTAGTTCAGGGAGCTAGATCTCAATCTATGTTCAAAGCCTGAAAGAAGTTTGCCTTACTTTCTTCACTTTAAAATCATTTTACAGAGGAAATTGATTCAAATCAAGGGTTTTCTACCCTGATATATAGAAAACGCCTTAAAGAATAATATTTAATTGTAATTGTGGTTTTATGAACAACTATTACCTTTTATTTCACAAGGAAAAACTAGTTTCCCTGTCCCTAAATCTCTACAATTCCAAGATTTAATGTTTATTGACTCTTCTTTAAACCCACCTTTATTCAACTTGAAATTCTGCTGAACAAAAATACCCAGTTTCCTCTTCACTCAGGTAAGAAATTGGGTTATTGTGAGGCAGATATTGGACAAAAAAATACACTTTTTTTAAAAAATGTGAAAAAAACACAAATCGAGCGGGAAGACGACTCCGATCTGCCTTGCTGGGCGGGTTTCTTAACGCACCAATCACAGGGCTGCTCCTGTATATAAATACCAGGCAACTGAACTAATCCACCCCAAGTGGTTTGGTTTGGTTTTGCTAGTGTGTAAGAGAAATAATAGTCACTATGTCCGAAACGGCGCCTGTTGCAGCTCCTGCTGTCTCTGCTCCTGAGGCAAAAGCCGCCGCTAAGAAACCGAAGAAGACGACAGGCGGCTCTAAAGCCCGCAAGCCTCCAGGTCCCAGCGTGACCGAGCTGATCACCAAGGCGGTGTCCGCTTCCAAGGAGCGCAAAGGGGTCTCGCTGGCAGCTGTTAAGAAGGCTCTGGCCGCCGGAGGGTACGATGTAGAGAAAAGCAACAGCCGCATCAAAGTAGGACTCAAAAGCCTGGTGAGCAAAGGTACGTTGGTGCAGACCAAAGGCACCGGCGCATCGGGCTCTTTTAAACTCAACAAGAAACCGGCTGAGACCAAGGAGAAGGCGCCGAAGAAAAAGCCAGCGGCAAAGCCTAAGAAACCAGCTGCCAAGAAACCCGCCAGCGCCGCCAAGAAACCCAAAAAGGCTGCGGCCGTGAAAAAGAGCCCGAAAAAAGTCAAGAAACCAGCAGCTGCCGCGCCCAAGAAAGCGGCCAAGAGCCCGAAAAAGGTTAAAGCGGCTAAGCCCAAGAAGGCAGCTAAGAGCCCGGCTAAGGCCAAAGCGGTGAAACCCAAGGTAGCCAAGCCCAAGCCAACCAAACCTAAAGTAGCAAAGGCTAAGAAGGCAGCGCCCAAGAAGAAGTAAAGAGTCACTTTCCTTTTAGATGAACCCAACGGCTCTTTTAAGAGCCACCCATCCCTTTCAAAAACAGAGCTGATTCACTTACTGTAACGTCAGGCTGCTTTCTAGGACCAGTTCCCTTCCTCCCTTACCATTATACAAACTGAGGGGTAAAGGAGAAGCGACTCCGGTCAAAGATATGCACAGTGTATGCAATTTACTGTAGTAGCTCATTCTCCCTAACCCCGAGTAAAGAGACTATAGTAATTCCGGCTTTTAATTTCCTCCCTTCGCCCCCCGCATTCATGGTTATTTTTTCTAGTCTCTAAGGTGCCACAAGTACTCCTGTTCTTTTTACCTAGAGCGTGCAGCTTTCAAGCAGTTGGAGGAAACAGGCCTCACCATACATTCTCAAAGGGATGAGTCAGAATATATGTGCCCTGTCCTTTGTTCACAGGGCGAGTTACAGGGCTCGATGATTGTATATGGACAAAATCCTTTTCTGGTTTGCTGGTGGGAGGGAATGAAGCAGTTGGTAAATTTGAAAAGCCCGCTCTATGCAAGGATTGGCCAGACAACCCGGAACGTTATTCCCGTTCAGAGGAAATCCGTCTACTTTCATTAACTCTCTAACTGTTGAAGAGGAGAGTCTTGATAAATGTTTTAGTTCAAGTTTATTCCCCGGCCTTCCCGCCAAAGTCAATTCATAGGCCTTTTGGAAAACTTTCAAATCTAGAACAAATAACCGATAAAGGGTACCGTATTTCCCATTTTATTTTATTGCATTGTCTCTGGAAACCACATCTAGCAACAGGTTACTGTCATATTAGGAATTCCCGCCTTTTCACACTGGCCAAACAATTACACGAAAAGGAAATGGTGCCAATTTAATCCGGCTTTCAACAGTGAACTCACTGTCCGGGAGGTTTCTGTCTTCTACAAACCTTACGAACACGTATTTCAAATTAGGAGAGACTCAGTGTCTTGTTTGTAGGAAAACAGACTTCTGCCGAATTGTTAAATTTTCGTTCAGATACCTATATTCCAGCTATTGTAACTCCAATTCAATCATTTATTCCCAGAAAGGAAAAAATGGTTACAGATAATTAAGCCCTTTTTTGATTTTGTGGGTGGCTCTGAAAAGAGCCTTTGGGTTGGTTTTGAACTGAAGATTTTTGCTGCTTTCTGATCAGCTTCACTTGCTCTTGGCCTTGTGGCTCTCAGTTTTCTTGGGGAGCAGCACTGCCTGGATGTTGGGCAGGACACCCCCCTGAGCGATCGTCACTTTGCCAAGCAGTTTGTTGAGCTCCTCGTCGTTACGGATGGCGAGCTGCAGGTGACGGGGGATGATCCTAGTTTTCTTGTTGTCCCGAGCAGCGTTGCCGGCTAACTCGAGAATCTCAGCAGTCAGATACTCGAGCACCGCGGCCATATAGACCGGAGCTCCGGCCCCCACCCGCTCAGCGTAATTACCTTTGCGAAGCAGGCGATGCACTCGACCCACCGGGAACTGCAGCCCAGCCCGCGAGGAGCGAGACTTTGCCTTAGCCCTCGCTTTGCCTCCCTGCTTTCCTCTGCCTGACATTGTAAATCACGAAAAAGAAACTGCTATGATAGTCGGCAAAAGTCAGAAAAAATGAGATTGGCGCTGCCTTTATATATTTTCTATTTGGAGTTTTCAAACATTGTGATAGGCTGAAAAGTAGGAATTCTCTGAACAGCCAATGGCGATGGAGATGTAACTCTGACCAATGAGAAGGTTAATGGAACATTCGAAACCCGTCTATTGTCTCAGAACCAATAGAAAATCAGTAAAGTGAGACTTTAGTGTGCATAAGTTCTCTATAAATAGAGCTACCGTCAGCTTCTTTCGCCGTTGCAATTTTTTTTATTTAAGCAGTGTGTGAGAGAACACAGAACAAAAATGCCGGAGCCAGCAAAATCTGCTCCCGCTCCCAAGAAGGGCTCTAAAAAAGCTGTGACGAAGACTCAGAAGAAGGGCGATAAGAAGCGCAGAAAGACTAGGAAGGAGAGTTATTCCATCTACGTGTACAAAGTGCTGAAACAAGTTCACCCGGACACCGGTATCTCCTCTAAGGCCATGGGGATCATGAACTCCTTTGTGAACGACATCTTCGAGCGCATTGCGGGGGAAGCGTCTCGCCTGGCTCATTACAACAAGCGATCAACCATCACTTCCCGGGAGATCCAGACCGCTGTGCGCCTGCTTCTGCCGGGGGAGCTGGCCAAACATGCTGTGTCTGAGGGCACCAAGGCCGTCACCAAGTACACCAGCTCCAAGTAAATAGTTTGCTGTGAGACTACGAACACCTATAACCCAAAGGCTCTTTTAAGAGCCATCCACTTTCTCACCCAAAGAGCTTTGATATCACTAACTGCTGCTGCTTGTGTTCTTCAAACTACAACAAAGTGTATTTTTAAAACACTGTATTTGTGCTTTAGTTTCAGGCGACTTGTTAAAGCATTTTTTAAAATTGCATATGCCCCCTATATCGAGGGGGGACTGATTTCGTTTTAGTAAATAGCATTGTCAATTTAAACTATATCGGGGTTTCAAATTTTAAGGAAAAATGTAGGTGTCCCTCGTCCTTCTCGTTTCTCCCCCTCCCAACCAATATTTCGGTGATGTGTCCCGCCCCCATCCCCCAAGAAATATAAAATATGGCTAAACGGTTTGTCCAGTAAATAAAGTATTTGAAATTTTACCAGATGACACGGTTCAGTACTCTATTTTACTGAAGAATAATCCTAGAGGTTCGCCTAAAAAGTTTTGGCTCCATGAATATCCTTATCTGCTTATTCGAAATGTATAAATCCTATCTGCCTGAAGGATAGTTGGTTTGCCTCATTGTTTCTATCATTCTTTAAATTCCTGTAGCTAAAACTCAAATGCTTCCCCCCCTCCCCTCTAGTTTATCTGAATAATCTTGCTATTTGGGACTATTAGTATAAGAATATAAACATTAACAAATGTTACAAGTTATGGGGGTGTTACAGCTCCTTTCAGCGTGAAGGTAGTGGGTTTTAAAAGAGCCTTTTGGTCGTTTGGAAGTTGCAGAAGAGAGCTGAGCTGAGCAGCCTGTAAACCCTTTCACCACTGTTACGCCGGGGTAACTGGATGACCTTGGGCAGGAGGTCACTCTCTTTGGCGTGAATAGCACACAGGTTAAATTTAATATCCTCAAAGAGCCCCGCCAAGTAGGGTTCGCTGGCTTCCTATCAGGCCATAACGGCCGAGCTCTGGAAGCACAGATAGAAAGCGGTCGCCACAAGCTGGCTGGTTCCCTGAAATTCAGGATCCTAGAACCAGCCCAGTACCGCGTTCTTTTGCTGCCCCTTCTCTCCTCCCCCGACACTCGGTCTACAAAACCGCCTTCCCTTTTCTGCCACCTCGGTGCATATTTTATTTCTTCCATTATATCAGAGGCTCCATGTCTCCCTATTTTTCCTTCAGAACGACCAGTCCATTAATCAATATCATCCCTGCTTTCTGTCTTTTACCGCTGAACAATCATCATGCACACAAATCCCCGGAGACAAGGAAGGGGTGGGGATAATAGAAATAGTTAACCCACAGAATGGGCTGAAACCTCTCTCGATCCTCGTTGTAGTTTGTGTTTTAATCTGTGGTGTGGTTATTTAGAGCGTGGCACAACTACCCTTCAATAATTATCAAGGTTCCTTCTTATCATTCGTATACCCCACCTCAAACTAGCCCATTGGAGACTTGTTTACAGGTTACTTCTAGCGAGATTGAGAATAAAGGTTTCCACGTGATCAATCTGTTTAAAAGCAAAATAGAAAATACTTTGACTACCCCCACCCCTAGCCCTTTGTTACACGATGGTGTTTCAAAATCCGATAGAAAACCCCGCAGAAGATAATTTTATACTCAGTGAATATTCCAAACGCCACATACAGAAGTCTATGTAGTTCTAAGTATTTTCAAAGAGGAAATACAGCGGAAGGTTAGCATTAACCAATCCTTTAGCAGCGCGGGCTTTTCAAACTAACCAATGGGTAAATCTCGCTTTCAATAGCCAAACAGAAAAGATATTTTGGTCCCTAAATCACCCTGTTGCTCCCTTCCCTGTTCCCTCATTTTCTATCCTCATCTTCACCCCTTGGAGACCAAAGCTGATGTGCGACTCCAGGAACAGCCCGCCCCCTCCCCCCCCCCAAAAAAAAAGCTTTCTAGCAGGGATTGGAAAGAGCTCTTCTGTCCTTCCTCGGGAGATTCCACCCCCTGTAAGACTGCTGCCGGAGGAAACGGCTAAACAGACTGCTCCAAAGGCCACTTCCAATTAACGGGTGTCTTAAGAAGAGTTTTTAGAACCACCCAATCTTCGTTAAAGGGTTTTAATACTTTTCTTTAAATATATTACTTGAATATGTAGCAAATGAAATAAAGTACATAACTAAACAGTAATCAAGCCTGTGCTTTCCTGAGCCCTCTTACAATTAATGACTTGTTCTCCAAGTATCCCCACCCCAATATGTGCCATGGAGCTAGAGAACATAAACACAGCTGTTTTCATACAATGTTTCTTACTCGTCAACATACTAATTTACTGCCTACTAAAATAACATGATTAAATAGTATAGTAAGTGTAGTTTTCTTTGGTAGGACAATATGTATTTACAATTTAGCATGTAGAATAAAAGCCTAGAACAGTTCTTATCGTGAAAGCATAGATGGCTCTGAGAAGACCTTTTGATTTAAATTTTTGGTCATTCCTGGGGGAAAGAAAAGAACCTATATTTGCTGAATCAGTAGAATGCAGCTTAGAGTATAGACCACATCCATGGCAGTCACAGTCTTCCACTTGGCACGTTCAGTGTAAGTAACAGCATCATGCATCACATTCTCCAAGAAAACCTTTAGTACCTGTAAAGATATTTCAGGATCACCAACCAGGCCCACAGGTTACCTTATGAACCTAGGTAATCAGACTGCTTCCTGTAGCTGATGACCACAGCTAATTCCAAATTCAGAACCAAGGAACAGGTTTATTTCAGCAGATGTACAGAATGCCACACCCCAGTGATCAGTTGGGGGTGAGTAGCCAATGCATTTGCTACATCTACACATGTACAAAATGCTGTATAGAAACAAAGGCAAAGACTTAAGTCGCAGCACACTTTTTTTTATACCCCAAATGATACGTTTTTATCAATTCCTCCCCCTAATTTGTTGTATTATAATAATTAATATTTATGACCATCTACAAAATTCCACAGTACAGAATAGAGTATATATCATGTTTATCTACTTACCAGCAACAATAAAGCTATTAATCTCATTTAAGACATGAACTTACTTTTTTTTTCCTGGTCATGTTTGGGAGGTGTCTTCTTTGTCCTGTACCCAAGTTAGAGACATTCAGGAACATTCAAAAAACTGAGTAACAGGATATTTAGTAAGCCAAGAAGGCTTTGCTTGTGCTCCTTTCCAAAAGGTTTATCCAAAGGTTTTATTAACCAAACTAAACTAGGCCAACATTTATATGATATATGCATCTGCTTATATATTAGCCAAGATATGATTCATTAAATATACTTAGGCCCTTACCATCTTATATAAGGTAGTTCCCCTTCCCTTCCTTACAGTACCCAAAAGTCTTCTCATAGATCAGTCCTGAAATATGCTTCATGCCCCAGGGCATGCCAGGCAATGAATAGCCAGTTTCATAATATCCTAGAAGTTACTGCAACACTCCTACTGTTCCAGTGGCATTTAGTACCACCTTCCTCAAGTCCCTTACCATCTTTGCCATGAAAACATCTTCAAATTACTTACTAGCTCCATAGTACAATGTGTACAAAGAGATGACAATGTGAGTGGAGGAAGTCTGTGTGTAATCCCTGGGAGATGGCCTGAATGGAGACTGGAAAACGGCAAGGTAGTCATTTTCATCCTCCTTTTGCCTCCACTACTTGTTGCTGTCTGTATAATGCTGCTGCTTGGTTTAAAGGAAAAGAAGTGGGATACTGGATCTTCTCATTTTGCCCACTCTCCCATCCGCTCTATTTAGAGTCCCCAAGACTTGATTTTTAAAAATAATTTTCTATAATTCCTCATTTTTTTTTATACTGAGTCATGTTATTAAGTCCTGCCTAACTATAAAGACAATGAAATTCTACATTTTTGGACAATACCAGTTGCTTCTGTGAGTAGCTGAAAATAAGAGCCCCTTTCTAAGTGAATTTTATTGTATTTTCTATATTCCGTTGTGGTATTTTCATTTCTGGAGCGTCTTCCGATAAAAATGATTTCCATCTGTTGCTTTTTGTTTGTTTCTTTGTTTCAAAATGTTCATCTCATTTTATAGGATTTGCAGGATGCAGCAAAATCTGACCAATCAGATTTCCTGATCTATCATCTTTTTCCTGCCTTGTCCCTAACTTTGCTGTCATTTTTCCAAGTGGACACATGAAGGACACATTTATTTCATTCAAAGATAGAACCGGGGTCATCTTAGAGTGCTGGTCACTACCTATCTTATCTATATTTGTTTAATAAAGTATTAAATTTATTTATTTGGTGATATAAAGTAATATTCCTTGTGCAGTACATGCAATACTGTGAGTGTTGATTTGAATGAGTGCAGAAATTATCACTCAGAAAACTAGACTCCTTACCTATTCCAAAATAAGGAACTCATTCCTCTAACTGATAGCCAGAAATAACTGTTCTATGTTAAGAAATGGTGAACTTCTGAATTGTTTATATAAACATTGGGAACAATACTTAGAAATTGATGCTATATACACTCACATCACACACAAAATCAATACAATGCAATTTTACTTTAAGTTTGCAGATCTTTAGAAATTATGGGTAAAAATGATCAGAAGGAGTTTTGAGAAATTGTGAAGAAATCCACCACCCTTTCCCATTTCTTATCCTCTTCTGCCTTTTGATGAATATTATTTTTCAAGATGAAGAATTTTTAAATGATATAACATTTCAATATTTATTACTAATGACACACAAACAACATAACAAATTAAAAATATTATAACTGTTGATCATTGTTGTCAGTTTTACTTCAGGATTACTTATAGCTTGAAGAGCAAATTATTTTTTCCAGCACAGGGAAAGCTGTAGAACTTGCCAGTAGACACTTAGCTTTCTCCATTCAGTACTGAACAAAGAGATATCAAGTAACAAGCCCACCTGTAAACATGTCTAAAATATTACCTCTGTATTAACACAATAAATGGGAACTGAATGTTAAACATTGTCAAAGTTCAGTCAGATACCCCTGGTGTATTAATATAGCTGTTTCTGTCTGTAGCTAGAGCAGACACCATGCTAGTACTAATTACCAACCAAAGCA